GGGGCTGGAAGCAGCTGTGCCCCTTCCCACCTGGAATGCTGGCTGCCAGGCTGTGCCTTTTGCTGCCCTGTTGCTTTGGTCACTGGGTGCTCCCTCCTGGGAAAGATCTCCARGATCTCCTGGCCAGCAGGAAAGGAGGGACGCTGGAAAAAGTTACTGTACCAGGACATTTGTGTTTGGATCACGGTGACAAGGTGCAGCAGTTTTGTTTATGTGGGTGGTGGGTCTTGTCAGAGATGTAGCTGGTGTCTCTTTTGCCACAGAAAAACCTTGTGTGTGATTAATTTGTTTTCCTGGAGGATGTGGCCAATCACAGATCTTCTGCCCCTTATTTTCAAAGTTATGGGAGCAGAGCCTGTTTTACACCAAAGGATGAAAACGTSTTATGAAAGCTGAGAAACTGATTTGTTATAGAAGAGTGATTTTTAAAATCCTTTTTGACTCTTCCTCTCTTGAGCCAAATGCAGCTGGACCATGAGCACTCCAGTGATGAGAGACAGGAACAGGCTGCACAGCTCCACTGGCATTGCCCTCTTCCAGCTCAGTGAAGAGTGCCCCAGACATTGGATTTTTTCCTGATTTATTACATAAACCACAGGGGAAAGCCTTGCCTTGGTGGTGTCTTGAGGATGAGCAAAGTCATGGCCAGCAGCAGAAAGGCTTAAAATTGGATATGCTGGAAAAAGTCTGGGGAATCAGCTTCTCTCCTGCCTGATCCAGGCCTGGGGCTGGGAGGGAGCGTCTGCAGGAGGCAGATAGGGAGGGATTGTTCCTTATCAGACAGGGAGGGATTTTTCCCTATCAGATAGTGAGGGATTTTTCCCTATCAGACAGGGAGGGATTGCTGTGCTGGAAGCTGCAGTGAGGACCCTGAGGTGGATCTGGGGTGACCCTGCCTTGTGTTCTGAGTCTCCTCTCCCCAGCTCTCATTTCCTGCTTTCTCCTCTGTGCTCTCTTGCCTCCTCTCCTGCAGCTCAGGCTTTGTGGCACTGGAGAACCCAAAGTGTATTTTTGTTGTGGTATGCTGATTTCTTGCTGTCTCATATTTTTGCACTCGAGGTGATGTCCAAACTTGCACTCGGACTTGTCTGAAGAACAGGTTTGAAGCCTGGCAGGTCTGACACTGCAAGAAGCCACAAGCAGCAAGTGTCTGGAAGTGGAGAGATGGATTTGACCTAACTCTCAATGCTGTTCTGCTTGAGAAGCATTTTTATCTCCAAATTGCTGTCAGGTGCATTTGGTGCTGTGTCCCATCCCTCTCATCCCAGCCCTGCTCTCTGTGCCCCTTTGATTTTCCAGCCCAGCTTTTAGAATTCCACTTCCCTGTTATAAAATCCTTTGCCAACCAAAGCCATGAAACCCAAATTCCTCCTGGTGTGGGCACAGAGGCTGAGTATCCCAACCACAAAGTGGGGCTGTTAAATTCTGGGCCTGGGCTATTTATATTGTCAGTGGGAAAGCTTTTCATTGACTGAGCTGTYCCCTCCCTAAAGATACTTCTAATTAAATGTTATTTGACAGATCTGACTTTCTAATTGGCTTAGATTTTACTGGTATAAATGGGATTTATTTTATTTTATACTGAAAGTAGGAATAATTTGGTTGGAAGGCTRTTTGCATTCAGAGTCACGTCCATCTGTTGTTTAATATAATAAGCTGATAAAGTGAAAAAAAAAAGCCAAAAAAAACCCCACAACCAGAAAGTCAACATCCCTGCCAGTGCTGGGTGAGGAGAAGGGGAAAGGGACACGGCTGCCTCAGCTTTGGAGCTCTCTAAACAATGCCCAGCAATGTTATGCAACTGCCTAGGGAAGGAAGTGAAAAATTATCATTACAGTGCAGTTTCAAGGGCAATAGTAAATGAGCAATTTGCAGCACAGCTCTGTGCTTAAGGGACTTAACTCACTTCTCCTGAGATAAAATTAACAGGGCTGGTTAAGGACAATAGCCRTGACCTCTGTTCCCACCAGGAGTGGGGCAAAGACAGGCTCTTTTTAGAAATGAATCTGAGGCATTGGGCTGAGAGCCTTCAGAGTGGGCAGCCAAACCCAAACTGCTGCAGTGGCCTGATCCTGGAAGTGCCTGATGGATCCCTGTCCCACTGAAGCCTGGAAAAGGAGAGGCAAGCACATGCTGAAACCTTCATTTATATCTGTTCTTTGTTATTTCAGTGGAAGGGATTAAAAGACCTTCTGCAAGCCCCTGGACACTGGAGCAGCAGCAAAACCCCTGAATTAATGACTTGGAAAGCAGTGCTGCTCTCTGTTCAGTACCTTCAGGGCAGGAGTAAATAGCTTCAAAACCTTCTATTCCCATTTTACTTTCAGCAAGAGGATTTTGCCCAAGGATGCCAGGCACTGGAACCACAGGTGAGTTCCTTTCTGRCTCTGAGATTAGACAAAATCCTTCTGAATGAGCTTCACCTTCTGCTGTGCATCAGTAACTCTGTGCAGCTGCTACCCCTGGAGGGATTTTTGAAAGAGGAATATTGGATTGTCTTGGCTCCCCTCACGTTTTTCTGTTACCCTTTGCACTTTCACCTTCTGGAGCAGCCAGAGAGGCTCTTCACTGGGAGCTTGGGGCTAATGCAGGAGAAAGATCAAGAAAAATGATTTAAATGGGGAAAACACCCGTGTTACATTAAAAACGTAGCTCAGTGTAAAAGCTGTTTCATGCTCCACCTGGGAGCAGATGTTTTGTCTTGGAAGCTGCTTTTAAAAATGCCTGGGTAGAACTGGAGCTGTCAGTTTGCCCAGATTAGCTGTGGGACAAGTTTCTCCTGTGATCCACGCTGCAGAGTTGAAGTGGATTTTTGTGGAGTATCCATTCGTGCCTGAGGAGAGCTGGGAGTGCTGATAAATATTCATCTCTCTGGGGCTATTTGTTAATGATTATTGTTATTCATGGTTTGTGTGATGGTGCAGAGTGGATCCTGGCAGGGCTGCATCCGTTCCAGGGTTTCAGAGTGCATAGTAAAACACCATGTTTTATTTTATTGCGGCCTTTCTGGGAAATATTATTCCTGTTTTCAAGGGTGGGAAATTGTACAGTCCTCAGGGTGAAAGAGAATAAAGGGGCAAAACTGGGAGCTGAATGTCCTGACTCCCACTCCTTCCTTACCCACGTCAGMGTGAGGGTAATTGTGCTAATTGTGAATTGGAGACCTTGGCTTCGTCCTTTGCTGGGCAGTGCAGCGCTGCTGTCACGCGAAATTACAGCGGCTCTGCTGTTCTCAACGGGCAAGGGAGCAGAAAGTTTTTTTAGCAGGAAGTTAGCAGCTGGTGAATGAAATACCAGGCTCTGCCTCTTTCACAAGGTGTGCCTTAGAAATGTGGTGCTGCAAAGCRCAGCAGAAAGAGCAGCCTGGGTGGGCTCTGGTCACTGGCTGCAAGAARGGAGAACAGCCCTGAATGCTCAGGCACTTGTGATTCTACGAGTTCCCTTCTCTCAGGCTCTGGGAAGAGTGCAGCTAATTTAGAAAATGAGAGGAGGACACAGAGAAATGTTTCCTGTCAGAAAATCCTGCAAGTTAAATGACCTAAGTGAGTGGAGCTGCTGGGTGCCCTGCCTTTGGGGTGGCTGTCTTTTGGGGTRGAGTCAGAAAAGCACACACATCTCTGTAGTTCCAGATTTGGAAGGATTTGGGATGGGCAGGAGCTGCCAGTGCCTTGGGRAGGGTCCTGTCCTTCCTGTCCTTGTACACTCACCATTCCCAGCTGGTGCTGCAGCACAAACAGCCCCTTTTTTTAGCAGCTGTCTGCAGAGATTTGTATGGAGGAAATGCTCTGGGGATTGGATCTTGCTGCGAAACACAGAGGCCATCAGATTCAGCTTGTTCATCAGCCCGGCCTTCCGCAGTGTGAAGGCAGGAATACAAACCACCAGCGACCAAGAAATGAAAATATCGACCATCCTGAGCCACGTGTGCTTCTCCTTCCCTCCTGACAAACAAACCCTTGTGATTTCCAGCTTGGGAAACCCAYGGGCCAACATCTGATGGTGAGTGAGTGCAGAGTTGAGTCCATGAATGTCCTGGAATTGTGATCCTCCACGTGAACCTCCAGGCATTTCCTGACCTCCGAGTTCAGCCGAGCGTCTGAGCTCCTGCATGGGGCTAAATAATAAAACATATGAGTTCTCTGCGATGTGCTCAGAATGTTAAGGCTGCAGCCCTTGGCCAGCTCTGCTATGAATTGCTTCCATCAGGGCAATAATCCAGGGAGCTACGAGCACGAACCGGTTGGATGGTGGAAATGTGTGGTTTGGTGCCTTCCTGGGTAAAGCCACGGGAGAAGGAAAAGCTGCTGTTTGCTCTGTGTTCATCCCTTTCCTGTGCCCTGCTGGGAGGGCAGACAGGGAGTGTTCCTGAAGGTACCACGGGCTCTGAGGACATCCTGGTCCAGGGGAAGCCTCCAGTACGTGTTCAGGTATGTGAGGAGTTAATGATGAAATGACTGGAAATACCCACGTTTTCCTCTGCTGTTCTAAAGAAAAGAAAAACTCACTCTGCAAGATGTTCCCTTCAACAAAACCATCCTTTGGCATCAGTTTTTGGCAGAAAGTTGCCATCAGTCATTCCAGTGAGTGACCACTTTGCAGAGGGAGCAGATCTGTCATGTAAGGACAAGGAATGAGCAGAGAGAACTGTCGTGTTCCTGCTCTGAACAAAGTGATTCTCCTCTGGTGGAAATCCCTTCCTGAAGGGCTCTGGCTGAGGTTCAGGGATCTCCAGCCCTTGTGCAGGGCAGCTGTGTGARCAGCAGCCTGAGAAGGGAAGGGAAGGGAAGTGAAGGCAGGAGATGCTTGGCAGACCTGGCTCCAGACAGAACTGACTCATTTGTCGAGGCTGACGCTCTCCGAGCTGCTTGCCTGAGGCTGGCGTGGCTCAGACAGGAGAGTGAGAACGCAGCCATCCAGATACTCACAGAGGAGAGAAAAGTAACAGCTCCAAACATGTGACTGGGATGGAAGTGGAAAAAAAAAAAAAAGCATCCCCAATTAAAGCCATGTGTGTTGGTGGATGGAACTGCTCCCGAAAGGTTGGTGGAGGCTGTTTGTGCAGCACAAATGCAGCCACTCTGTAGTGGCCTGGATTGGAACAGGCAGGCTCCTCCTGCACACGAAATCCCCGTGGAAATCCTGCGTGGCAGCAGCTCCGCCACCCTCTCGGGTTAAGGTAAGAGCTGTCGTGTCTCCTGTCTCCTCCCCATCCCTGCTCCTGAAGCACATTTCCCATGCCGCCTGGTGCTGTGCCATGTGGKTTTTTTTCGCTGCTGGATGATGCTGATGTCTCTGTGCAGGAGCAGAGATTTATTTTTTCCTGCAGGCATGCATTATTCAGTTATCAGGATAAACGGGCTCCCTGGATTTGGGCATGTGTGTGAGCGTTGCTGGATCCTCCCTTCTCTCACAGGGAGCAGGGAATTCTGTGCTCTGTAAACTCAGTGCAATACCTGTGAGGCTGCAAAAAGGGTCTGAACTAAACCTCAAACAAGCGTTCTTGCTGTATTTGGGGAGACTTTTCAAGAAGCAGGATGTTCCTACAAACTCCTCCTATGGAAGAACACGACCAGAGCCCACTTCACACCCAGAGGACGTGATCTACGTGACAAACTCATATCAAAATAGGTGTTTGCTGCTGTTTACACTGTGATTAGAGTGCACTAAGGCCACAGAGTCAGAGCCAGGCTGATTTGGGGTGTGGGGAGGAGCAGACCTTCCCTCCCTGCCCTTGACTTGCGCGGGCGTGCGAAGCGTTTCCAGGGGAGATGTTTTCCACRGAGCCACACTGGGACAGAAGTGCTAAAAATTTGGGAAGATGCGGTGGAGGACACAGTCCCACCAAGCTGTGGAAGCAGTGAGAGCAGCTTGCAGGGTGCTGGAGCTCCAGGGTTCCCTGCAGAGGCAGCAGACACCCAGCACRGTGCCAGACAGTGGGGCTGCTCTGGGGAGGAGCGAAGCTGAACACAATTCTCACCTTGCATGGAGCTGTGTGCCTTTCTGGGAATCCTGCCACGCTGGGATTTGTGGGCTTGCACATTAATCTGTTGGGATGCAGACTTATCCWCRGTGCTGTGGAGGACCCAAAAGTGCKTYTGGTGCTGCTCTGGTGAGTCTGGGTTTGCACAGAGGAGCTGCAGGAACAGTTTTAAAGATGTTGGCAAAGGTTGTGCTGGACACCTGGCTGATAGCTGAGCTCCTGGGGAGCCTCTTGCCTTGTTTTTCAGGCAGATGTGGAATATTATCTTCACAAAATCCAGTGGAACAGCCAGGGAGGCGGGCAGTGTCCTGTGTGAACTCTGGCTCTGCTGTCCAGGTCAGTGTTTTAAACCCACGAGTGTCTTTGGGCTGATGCCCGAGTTTTGGCACCYCTGGAATTTTCAACAATGCTTTTCACAGCCCTCAGAACAGAGACAGCTGCAGAAAAACAATGTGAAATCGGTGCAATCTGCTGTGCTGCAGCTTTGCCAGCAGCAATCTGCCCTGGTGCTGGCAGTGCTTCAGCCCTGACAGAAGCTCTGCCCCCGTGCCCGGTGTGCCCCAGGAGTGCCCCCTTTGTGAATCCCTCTGCTCTGGGCTCCCAGGGCTGTAATCACCAAGGGAGGGACTGTCACAGGCACTCACTGGTTGCTCTGGCTTGATTTCACCCTCCTCACAGGCTTTACCAGATGGTCATTTGTAAAAGAAGTYGCTGCTTGGTTGGATTCACTGCATTTTTCTGGTCCCTGCTGTTTGCTCTTCAGTGAGTTCTGCAGGAACTGCCAGGGCCAGGTTAGTGCTGGCTCTGTCACTGAGGGCACATCCAAACCCCTCTCAGGTGTGACTGCAGGTGCTGCAGAGCATCCTCAGCGTTCTCTTGGTGGGCTGGGATGGCTCAGCTCCTCCCTGGCCCAGGATCAGGGTGGGAGTTTTCTGATGGATCCCAAAGGCCCCTTTCTCTTGGACTGAAACCCTTGGCTTGGGGCTGACGGAAGCAGATGAGACAGGAAGGGAACAGAACCAAATTGGCTCTAGGTTGCTGTGGAGTCAGTGGAAAAWACTGTGGTGTGAACTTTGTCATGGTTTCCTTTCTGCTGCATCACGATGACGATCCCTTGGCCGTGCCCTGAGCGTGGTCTGTGGTTTGCAGGGGGCAGGAAAGGGGCAGGAAAGGGGCAATGTGGGCATCCCACAGCTGCTGCAGGGGTTTGGGATGAGCTGTGGGACATGGGTAAGAATCCAGGACAGGCAGAGGTGGCTCCTTTGGCTGGGTTTCCCTGTAATGCAGCCCCTGGTGCTCCTTTTCCATGCACTCTTGTTTYCCTTGAGCACCGAGGCAGCAGCATCTGGCAGGCTGAGAGGGGAAGGAGAAGCGGGGGCTGCAGCTGGAGGGGTTTCCAGGCAGCTCGAGTGCAGAATAGGCTGGGCCTGTGGGGAAACAAGCCATGCTTTCACTGGGGGAGGTTGTGCAGGAAAGGAAAGCTCTCACAGCCCATGCAGCTGCCCAGAACAACTGGGACRATTGTGCTGGTGCCACTTGTGGAGCTGAGCCTGACCCTGCCAGCAGCTGGGGGTGGTTGTGATGTTTTCAGTCCAAAACCATCTTTTTTTGGTCTGGAGCTGCTCTCTGCTGTGTCTGAGCTGCACTGTAGCTCCATTGGGATCCCTCAGGGCTGATCCCCAGCTCAGGCAGCTCTTTCCCCATCCTGGAGAGATGCTGCTCTCATGAGAACTGGCTGCTGAGCCCCCACTGCATGTCTGGGGGCAGTTTTAGAGAGGAGATATCTGTACATCTCATCTCTGGTTCTTTTGAATTTGRAGAGAATCCCCCAAACCAGGACTTGCCCATTTTCAGTGCTAAGTTCGACCTGCGTGGGCTCATCTATACCAGTGGGTAACAGAAATAAAATGGGTAACAAATAAATGGGTTGTTTGCATTTTGTAGCTGTTGATAAGGCAATTACTCATTTTTCTAATGTACATGGTAATTGTAACCTGCTGTTCTCTGCAGCAGGAGCAGTTTGTTTAAATCCCAGCGTATATTTTAGTGAGAGATGTGGTGACCCAGTTGCCAAAGTAAGTTGGTGATGAAAAGCCACTCAGCCTGCGTGTCCTCTCCTGCTCTCTGGCTGCTGAAGGGACTGAAGGAAATAGCACTTCAATGCTGCTGAAACCATCCAAACCATCCCCAGAGCACTGTTTAATGGCAGCATGATGGATTAACCTCGTTAAARGTGCTGGTGTCGTACAAGAGAGCAAAATGCTCGTGGAAAACTCAGGAATCTTCCTTGGTTGTGCTGAGTTCATTCCACATCTCCTCTGTGACAATGTGAGTGTGTCAATCCCTGTCCTGGTGCTTTGCCTGGTGCTCTGCAGGGCACGTTTAGGGTGCAGAATTAAACAAAACTGCTGGGTTTTGTCTTCCTGGAAAGGAAGGAGCATCCTCAGCCATGAGCATCGTGACTCCACTTGTGCTTGGCCAGCTGGTGCTCCTGGCCTCTGCATTTATTTCTCTTTTTCTCAGATGGCTGCTGATGGTTGGGTTTATGCCCTGCTGATGAGCTGTGCTAAGAGATTGTGTTCCACTCTTCTTGAAAGTGAGTTCTGCTGCACAGTGAATTTGATCAGTTCATGCACTTGGTGAAATTATTACATTTTTTTTTTTTTTCATTTGGGAGTCAGAACAAGTTTTAATGAATTAATTTTCAAATTGATATCTCCTTAATCATCACTTCCTCAGACCCTGCAAAGTATTTGCATCTTATAATTTAAGTGCTTTGAAACTGGGTATCGAGTGAAACTGTTAACCAGGATGAGATGAAATTCACATTTGCACCTTAATCTCGTCTGAGCATTTTCAAGTGCTGGAAGTTAATTACATCCATCGTGGTCCTTTGATACTTGACTAATTTTGGAGCACAATGACTTGAATTTGTGCTCATTGCCTGTTTGAAATTTCACTCCTCAGCTGACACAAGATAATTTCATTGTGCTCGCTGTTCATCCTGTGGGTCCAGCTGTATTTGGCACTTGAGAGGGAGGGTTTGGAAGAGGCTCTGGGAGTCAGGGCTCYTGGGCTCCTTTCCATTCCCTCCAGSTGACTCMCAGCAAGGCAGAATTTCCCCACAGAGCCTCAGCTGCCTTTTTAAAAAACGGGATAATTGCTGCCCTCGCACCTCTGCAAAATATCTCGGGGTCTTTAGGTTGGAGTTTCTGCACCTACCGACTGAGCATCATAAACTGCTTCACAAAATGCTCTGAAAACAGCAAATAACTCTGTGTGTCCTCTGCTCTCCCATCCCCACGGATCAAAGCCACCGAGGTTGTGTAAGCAGGGGAATGCTGGGTGACTTTTGCTTTCCAGGGGAAAAGAAAAAGGAGCTTGAATTTGGATTTCTGACAATGACGCAGCTCGTTGGAGCCATTCTGCATTGAAATGGGGTCTCATTCAGCGCTGCTAATAAGAGGGTAAAGGCAGCTAAATACAGCTGTCTTCCCCGGTGTCATTTGGGATTTATTAGCAAATATGCAGTGGAATTGAATCCCTCGTAAGTACTCTGCAGCTAATGGTAGATAGCAATTAGCTGAAATGACTACTGTGGAGCACTGAAGCTGCATCAGTGAGGGGACAGGAAATCTGGAGCCAGCACACAGAGCCAGCAGCTTCCAGAGCTCCCTTGTAGTTTTTCCCTCTGGATTTTCCGTTTGATGCCCTTAGCGAAAGGCTGCGGTGAAAATCGCTCCGTCTGGGTAATCCCTGGAGCTCCAGCTTGAGCAAACACTTCCCCAGCAGCAGTAAATGTGTGTGTATATTATTATTTTCAGCTCAGGGGTCATTGAAAGGACTCGCTGCAGTGTTCCTACCGGTGGGAGTGTGCGGAGGGGGAACCTGCTCCCCTCCAGATGTTCTGGCAGCACAGAGATGTGAAGGATCTGGCCCAGATGTTTGGAACCGGTTCACACACTGGGGAGGACTGGGTGCAGCATTCACRGGTTCATCTTTGACCTTTTCCTGTCCAAACTCAACCAGAGGTTTTGTTTCCTTCCCGTCACTCATGAGGTGAGCTGTAGGTCAGGGTGTCCCAAAGGCTCTGCCCTTTGGCTGGAGGTGAAGCAGCTCCTGTGCACTGCTTTAAATCAGTTTGAATCCAGCTCATTTCATGGATATCTCCATTTATTTGTCACCCTCCCTGGCAG